CTAACTTTGCAAGAAGTAAGGGAACTTCCCAAAGACCCCTTCAAAACAAGGAAGTGAGTGTAAACCGCGTGTTGGAACTGTGCAGCCCTTGGAGCAAATGCTAACACTGCAACCTTGAAGATTAAAGAAACACACAGAAGACTAGACTTTGGCCCAGACGTTAAGGTAGCTGAACCGAAGATTGATGAATTAAGTCAAGATCCTGGAAAGGGCTATACCGTTAGTGAAAGAGTAGACCAGAAAACCTCCACCCACCAGTAAAGGGAACCTACAAAGAAAACTGCCTCTCCCTGTGGTGGGAAAAAATTAAGAATAAGATGGGCTCCTGTGAACCACGGCACCTGCTACCACACTGTCCTTCAGCTCTGGGACACCTTCCCCTGCCAGAAATTAATTTATCATGATGGTAGCGCCACCTTGTGTCTATAAGGAGTAACTACAGGCTTTTTTAAAGAAGCGCCCCCAAATCAGGATCTTCAGGTTTTCCAGGAATTAAATGCAACCAATAAAAAAATTCCCACGACCAAAAAGCGACCAGACCCACAAGGAAAAAAGAGCCACCATGAATTCAGGAGAAACAAAAGCAACAGATTTATCCCTCCAAAGATTTCAGATGTTAGATTTATCAGATACAGAATGTAAAATAACCGTGCACAAAAGATCTAAATATATAAAAGAATTAAAAGAAAAGAAACAAGACAGTATTAAAATGACTATATATATATATATATATATATATATATATATATATTGGCTGTGCTGCACAGCTTGCGGGATCTTAGTTCCCTAACCAGGGATTAAACCCGAGCCACAGCAGTGAATGCGCCAAGTCCTAACCACTGGACCACCAGGGAATTCCCTGATTATGTATATTTAAAAAAAAAAAAGGAAAAGAATTGTCACAGCTGAAGAGAATTGGGAGGTAGGTTGGGAGAAATTAGAGTGCAATGCAGAGATTAAAAAAAGACGGGGAGCCAATCTTTCTGCCTTGGGGCTCTCTGGATGCTGTTCATCATCTTCTCAACACTGATGCTGCTGCTGAATATAATAATAATAACAATAATATCTAACCTATATATAGTGCTTAAAATAGCACCTGGCAAGTAGTAAACATTTTATAAATATTAATTTGTTTAAATCTCATGACCCATATTTTTTTTTTTTTAACATCTTTATTGAAGTATAATTGCTTTACAATGGTATGTTAGTTTCAGCTTCACAACAAAATGACCCATATTATTTCTGCCTCTTAGGAACAGGGACTGTGTCTTATGCATCTTTGCTGCCCTGGAGCCTTGAATGCCTTCTGAACAATAGAAACTTATAAATCAACTGAAATAATGCACATAATTTCTTTGTCCCCCATTTTGCATGTGGCAACACCTGCAAAATTGGATAGGACTGTCTGACCTTGATAAAAAAAATTAGGTCTGTTGGGAATAGCCGAAGTCCTCTTCGCCTTCTCTGGCTCCTTGCACCTTATGCCCAGTGCGTGAGGAAGTCCCACCAACCGCAGTAGCTTCCTAACTTACTTGGTTTTCTGGTTTCTACTTTTGCTCCCTACCTTGCCATGTATTCTTCACGCAGCAACTAGAATTAGATTTTTTCAAACATAAAACATATCATGTTCCTCCTTTGTCTAAATCTCCCCACTCTACCCCCCACAAAAAAAAAGAATCTTCCTGTCTCACTTCCAATGAAATATAAGTGCTGCCAGCTCAGAGGCCCCTGCCCACTTCTCTGCCCTCCTCCTCTGCTTGGCCTTCTCTCATTTTCTGTTTCTTAAACCTGTCAAGCGGTTTCTAACCTTAGATATTTGTACCTGCTGTTCCCTTTGCAGAGAACACTCTTCCTTTGGAAGAATGGGTGTTCCCTTCTTATCAGTCACTACTCCCCCCAACATTTCCCTGACTCCCCTCTCCCAGTCACTCTCTAGGACATGGTTGTTTTATTTTCATCTTGGCACTTATTGCTGTCCAAAATCACCGTGTTTATTTCTTTACTTGTCTTTTCTTTATCCCCTCTCCCAGAAAGGAAGGGTTTAGCAAGGAGGATCCTCTCTGTCTTGTTCAGCACTAGCTTCAGGTCCCAGAACAGGACCTGCTCCACAAGCAAAGCGTTCAGTAAATACGGCTTGAATGAGCCCATGGAGCCACCCACCAAAAGTTAAGTACGATACATGATATCAATGCAAGAAAAGAAGAGATGACTGGTGACTTTTTCTTTATGGCTGTGCTGCATGGCTTGTGGGATCTTAGTTCCCTGATCAGTGATCGAACCTGGGGCCCAGGCTGTGAGAGCGCCGAGTCCTAACCATTGGACTGCCAGGGAATTCCCTTTTTTGGGGGGAACTGGTGGCTTTAAAAAACAAGCTCTAGGGCTTCCCTGGTAGCACAGTGGTTGGGAGTCCGCCTGCCGATGCAGGGGACACGGGTTCGTGCCCCGGTCTGGGAGGATCCCACATGCCACAGAGCGGCTGGGCCCATGAGCCATGGCCGCTGAGCCTGCACATCCGGAGCCTGTGCTCTGCGACGGGAGAGGCCACAGCAGTGAGAGGCCCGCGTACCGCAAAAAAAATAAAAACCAAAAACAAGCTCTGGAAAGAAGTCAGCAAGAGAACCCTGTGCTCTATCCCACTCCTCCAACAAGAATACGACACACCTGAGAACAGATTGCTTATCTGCCCCTCGGTTGCTTTGGTCAGGCCTTTAGAGATCATGTAACTTTTGGCTTCAACATTTAAAAAGAGATATGTCAGAACTGGAATGACTTCAGAAAAAGGACAATTTGAATGAATACAGGTGGGACTTCCCTGATGGTCCAGTGGTTAAGAATCTGCCTTCCAATGCAGGGGATGCAGGTTTGAGCCCTGGTCAGGGAATTAAGATCCCACAGCCCTCGGGGCAACTAAGCCCACACACTGCAACTACTGAGCCTGCGAGCTCTGCAGCCCATGCACCACAACTAAAGAAGCCCACAACGAAGACACAGCACAGCCAAAAAAAAAAAAAAGAAAGAAAGAAAGAAAAAGAATACAGGTAGGAAAGCAGAATCTGTGGGGAAAGGCTGAATGATTTGGGACCTTAGGCAGAAATGGAAAGCCAGCAGGCAGCTTCAGAACTGTTTAAAAGTGAGTGGGCAATGACACACCTTTGTCTCACTGTCGGGCTGCCAGGTGTTGAGGTGGTCAGTGAGGACGATGAGCCAACCTGAAAGAACAGTCGGGGTCTTTATTCACTGAGCGCTACTGTCTGAGAGGCAGAAAGAGGCGCCAGCTCCCCAGGGGTCCATTTTCCCCAATTCAACAGCACTGGGGAGGGTCAGATGACACGGTCTCCTGCCTCTTTATGGACAGTGGGAGTGGGGTGGGGAGTGGGGGAAGGCAGGGAGAGAAGCGCTGGGAGTGAAAGGTACTACATCAAAGAGGAGGAGGGGTCTCAGCCCACACCCCCAGTAAGGAGGTGTTGGCGAAGCCCCTAGAAAGCGCCTGAGCTGAGGCTGCACAAGGAGGTCCCTCGGCTGGTCTGAGTCCTTGACCGTGATGCTCCCCAGAAAACCACACCGCCCTGGCTTGTGATTCCTGCGGTCGGCCTGAAAGGCCTCATGTAGGATTTCGGCCTGGAGCTGCACTCTTCAGCAGCCAGAGTCTGTCTGCGTCCAAAGTCCTGGTTCTTTCCAGGTGAGCCGTCCTCTTTCCATCCTGCTTCCATGCGGGATCTGGCTCAGGCCTCCCCATCTGTCACTGGGACCAGTGGGAGTTTCTCTGCCTCTAGGTCTCATGTCTTTGACCCACCCTCCACATCTCAGTGTTCTAGAACCTCACAAATGACCTGTCCCCACCATGAGTGAAACCCTTTGGGGGCGCCCCACCACCAGGCTTGGGGGGCTACAGGCGCCTCCAGCTCTCCGGGCCTCCCCGTGCTCTCTTGGGACGGCTGCCTCCTCGTCTGCCGCCCTTTTGCCAGGACTATCCTTCCCACTCCTCTGTCTGTCTGTCCTTCTGCTGCAGCTCAAAGCTCACCTCCTCCCGAGGCTCCCCAGGGCCACAGCACTGTGCACACGCCTTTATGACGACCCTTTATCACACTCCACTGTCACTGTCTGCAAGGTCCTGCCTGGCAGGGACACCATCTTCGCAACCTTGTCACGCGGGAGGCCTTGCTGAAGAGATGTTGTGAAATGATCACATGAATGAAAAGAAAAAATGAATGGCTATTCCAAATCCTGACTACTTTTTTTAGGCCACTCACGACACACCTGAGAAGGCTTGCAGGATCTTAGTTCCGTGACCAGGGAGCAAACCCAACCCTCGCCCTCTCAGCAGTGAGAGTGCAGAGTGCAGAGTCCTAACCACTGGACCACCAAGGAATTCCCCTGGCTCCTTTTTGCTCCCCTAGAATGTCCCTAGCCTGTCCCCTCCTTTCTCAGACACCACCTCTACCATGGCAATCTGAGAGAGAAATCAGAGCAGCAGAATGTCCTGGGCAATACTTGGGATCTGCCTGTTTGCCCATGAGGAGTCCCCACGTGCTGGGAGTCCCTTCTGCCAGAAGAGGCTCACTACTGGTCATCCGCACACAGCTCGACAACAGCTTGACAGCCGCGTTGCAGCGACCCTCAGCAATCAATTTAAAAATCTGAGGTGAAAGTTTTCACCCTTCTCCCATGAAAATAACACCCTGGACTCTTTTCTGATTAAAAACTTTATTTCCAGAAGCAGAACTGTTTTTAACACAGAATTCAAGGGATCGGCCTGTCTGTAAAGCCCAATTCCACCTTCCCAAGTCCCTGACTCCACAGCAGTTCAGAAACCATGCAGCCTAGCTTCACTCCCTGACACCCCACCTTTAGACCCTCTTCTCAGGGCTTGGAGAACTTTTGCTCAGAGCTTAGACTTAGTCTCCCAACTTGTCTCCCTTCAACGCTTTTCACAAAAGCTCTATTTCCACGGGAAAGAGACCAGCCCCCAATCTGCCTTCTGAGCGAGGGCGTTTCCATGGGAAACAGGAGAGGAGGGGCTCCGGCTGGAAGGGCCCTTCACAGGCAGCAGAGTCGCTCCACCTCCTCCTCACAGGCGTAGAAATTTGCAAACAGCTCAGGGCCGGTGCCCTTGCACTCAATCCACCTCCTCAACGTGCCCAGAGCCCGGAGGGCATCGGCTTTGGTGGGCAGGGGCTCCAAGCCGTCCTCTCTGCCCCCCACCTGGTCTTCGGTGCCCACCTCCTCTTTGCACACTCCAGACACAGGCTCCTCACCCTCCAGGTCCACAAAGCGGGAAAACTCCTCGAGGCTCAGCCCACCGGGGACGGGTGGCATCTCCGAGGCTTTGTGCGGGGCCAGGGCCGTTTTGCCTGGAGCCAGCCCTTCCTGAACAAAGCTGCTCACGATGAGCTGGAGAGGCACCTTGGCCCAGGCCGCTGCTGCCATGTGTAGAGCATCCAGCACTGTGATGCCTGCCCCGGCCTCAGCTAGCGATGTGCCAGCCCTCTCGCTCTGGACGGCAGCCAGCTTGCCCAACAGACGGCGCCGGTAATGGGCCTTAAAGGCCTGGACCACGGAGCTGGGCAGGGAAGGCGTGGTGCTAGCAGCGGACAGAGGCAAGAGCTTCACGTGGCCGAGCCCGGGCAGGCCTGCCAACTCCTCCACCACTCGGGCAGCCAGCAGCAAGGCTACCTGTCGGCCCTGCCGCCCCATGTCCCGATCAAACTGTGCCAACCATTCTGACCAGGGGATGGCCAGGTCAGGGTGGTAGGAGGCGGGCAGGGCCTCACTGCTGACCCCAAAGAAGCATCTTGGGGCAGCCTGGAGCCCACTGACCAACACCCGCCGCTTCTCTGTGCCCCTGCTGTTGGCACACAGCAGTACCTGTACCCGATCACACACACCCACTCTGCCGGGCACTGCCCGATATAGCAAGGGCACTTCAGCACACCCAAAAATGTCCTCTGGGGAGAAATCTTTAAGAGAAAGAGGTAGCTGGGCCTGGGGCGTGGGAGCTGGGGGAGGCAGCTCAGGGGTGAACGGAGGCGCCACTACGTGGCGGGCCCCGAAGCCCACGTTGTTTCGGCGTTTCCAGCGGACCAGCCAGCCAATGCTGGGCACAAAGTCCTGGCCCATGATGTCGGCCAGCTCCTTGGCTTTGTGGAGCAGCATAGGGCCCGTCACGTCCCAGGCCTTGGCCTGGGCAATGTGGTACCAGCAGAGCAGAGCCTCATCGATCCCGCTGTACTTGGACTCCCGCTTGCGCTTGCGCTCCCGGTTGGCCGTGCCACTGCACCAGTCCGCCAGCAGCTTCTCCTTATTCTTGCAGATGCGGGAGATCTGGGGCTGGGAGACCTGGAAGCGCCGGGCCACCTCCGACTGGGACATCTTTGACTCATCCAGGAGTTCCAGCACCTGGATCTTCTCGGCCAGGGACAGGGCATGAAGCTTCTTCTTGCTGCACAGCTCCATGGCGTCTCCACAGCACCTGTGTGGGGAGGAAACGGTGAGCAGGGACAACGGTGGAGGCCGCTCGGGTTGGGAGAGGAGGTCAGTAAGAAGAGATATTATATGAGGCTGGGAGACAGGCTGGTGTGGGGGAGAGGCCAGGGAAGACTGGACCAGCTGGAAGAGGGTGAGGGTACCCTGAGCGGGAGGTGAGAGGGCTGGGCTCGACGGAAGGGAAATGGCCAGGCTGAGTGAGCAGTGGGCCGGGCACTGATGGGGAGAAATGACAGAACAGAGCGCAGAGGAAGTGGCCCCCCGGTCAGAGGGAGAAGGGAGTCTGGGCTGGGGTTTGGGGGAGAAGGGTGAATAGAGCCGAGGGGACAGCTGCAGAGGCAACAAAGGAGCGTGGACGGGCGAGGACGGGGGGCCTGGGGCCGAGTGGGGCAGGTGTAGGGATAATCAGAGCTGGTGGGAGGAATCCCCGAGAGGGGGAGGGGGAGGGGGATGATGGCCTAGGCTAGATTTAGATGAAGATGTTCGGGGCAGGGTGGTGGAGTGAATGAACAGAATTGAGGTGACAGGTGTACAGACGACAAAGAGGGACGGATTGGGGGCTGAAGGAGCAAGTCTAATCTGGTGCTGGGTCCTGAGCAGGTAAGGCTGGGCCAGGGTCCTGCCTGGAGGGGGAGTAGGAGCACAAGGCCGAAAGGGCAGGTGCACAGGCGACGAAGGGCCAGAGGGGTTAGGAGGCCGCGGGCAGCGAGAGGGGCGGGGTGTCCTCAGCCGGGAGGCTCGTGGCCTGGGAGGGGTACCACGGCGCGGGGACGAGCGTCCGGGACCCAGGCAGGCCGGGAGTCTGGCTCCGCAACCCCGCCGGCCTCTCCCCACGGTGACCCGGGGTCCATCGGCAGGGCGGACCCAGTTATCCGCCCGCCGGGCCTCCAGGCCTCCCCGCCTCCCCGCCTCCCGCTCCGCACCCACCTCAGGCGCTCGTCCCGCGGCTCCCGCCCCGGCCCCGGCCCGGCTCCCGAGCCCCTATCCCGGCGGTTACGGGAGAGCAGGGGAGGGACGCGCGAAGCGGACAGAGGGGCTGCGCAGGTGGCGGGCGCGCGCACAGCAGGGCCCCGAGCGCGCCGCCCGCGCCGGGCCCTCTCCCGACAGGGAAGACCGCGGTCCGCAGTTCAGCTCCCACCGCCTCAGCCCCGCCCCGGCCCAATTAGATTGGCCTTCGGTGGCGTCCGTCCCGCCCCTGGCAAAGTCTCATTGGACATCGCGAAAGTGGCGGGTCGCCGGGTCCCCCGAGGGACGGAGCTTCCAGTGCTAAGGGATGGCGAGGCGGATCCCGGACGCGGCGGGAGTCCTGGAGGTGCCGCCAGCCTCAGGCGTCCCGGCCCTCGGGGCCTGACGAGACTCTGGGCAGCGTGAACGCCGGAGGTCTTCCTAGCCGTGACCCTAGGCAGCTTCCTCATCTGCCAAACAGGTCTAATACCCCTCATCGAGTGTTTTTTTAAAAAATGGAAGGTTTTAAGCTACGCAAAAGATGTTACCATGGACAGCACGGGTCTCACGTCTATCAGCCCGGCTACAATAAACTACTTGCTTGGGGCCAGTTCTGGTTTAGGGTGAGAAAAGGCTAATTTTCTTTTCTTTTTTTGGCCATGCCACGCAGCATACGGGATCTTAGTTCCCCAACCAAGGATTGAACCCGTGCCCCGGCATTGAAAGCGTGGAGTCTTAACAACTGGACAGCTAGGGAAGTCCAAAAGACTAATTTTTATTTAGCTTTTTTTTTTCTTTTTTCTCCCGTTGTGGAGCACAGGCTCCGGACGCGCAGGCTCAGCGGCCATGGCTCACGGGGTCTAGTGCTCCCCATTCAGATCTAGCCTGCTTTCTTCTCCCTTCACAGCTCTGATTGGAAGGCTGGGGCCACAGATGAGTCCACTTTCTCATAGGCTTCCCTTCCCATCCCAATCCTGACCCCTCTTCCATCCTTCTGTATGCCATCCTAAATCCACTGCCTGCAAACTTTCCAAATTTCCTCTCACTTATGCCTGTTAGTGTTCTCATCAGCATTCTCGTTTCTTACATTTTTCTTTTATCTGTTCTGGCCTTAGACCACTGAACCACCAAGGATCATTTCATTGCTTTCCTCCCTCTGCTCCAGGCCTACTTCCATGTAAAGGCATGAGGATGGGGGCTGTGCTGTCCCTAAGACAGTTCCCAAACTAGAGCACCCTGCTTACTTAACACAAGGGCCCAGGCCACACCTTTCAGTAGTAAACAGTGGCTTTCAGACTGTCCCAGAAAACCTTAGATACTTCATGGGGTTCATAACTGATTCAAATCTTTAAAACGGCTGCAGGAAAAGGAAACTCATTTTTGTGCATGTATATATGCCTGGAGGAAGGCTGCAGCGCTGCGCTATGGGCTGAGTTCATGCACACTGCATACAGTGAAAGTATGTCAGGCAAGCAAGGCTGAGGTATCTCTCTGCTCATGTTCATTACTCGGTGCAAAAAGGTTTCATGTGTTTCACTGTGATGTCATTAATTTTCCTGTCATTATAATCAAGCTTCTGGACCTATTTTTAAGTATCTGAAATCCCAAGGTCAACTGTTACAAACCTGTCACCACTTGCATATACAAATCGAGCGGAGTTTCCTCCAAACCAACAAAAATACAGAAATAAACAGGATTTTAAAGTTATTTTTTAACCCAAATTTTGTATTAATCAAAACTTCATTGTTCTTTATTAAAAATTGTTATAACCTAATTTACATAAGAAATTAAACAAATACCCAATTTTATATCAACTTAATCTATTGAGCTTAAGCAAAAATTTTAATTTGGGGTAAAAGCTATGCTTTAAAACATTTAAAAGCCACTATCCTGGGCTTCCCTGGTGGCGCAGTGGTTGAGAGTTCGCCTGCCGATGCAGCGGATGCGGGTTCGTGCCCCGGTCCGGGAAGATCCCACATGCCGCGGAGCGGCTGGGCCCGTGAGCCATGGCTGCTGAGCCTGCGCATCTGGAGCCGGTGCTCCGCAACGGGAGAGGCCACAACAGTGAGAGGCCCGCGTACCACAAAACAAAACAAAACAAGCCATTGTCCTAAGGAAGAAAGTTTTAGGATGAAGTGGCCTTAACCAGGAAAGGGAGTTTGGAGATAAACAATCCAGCAGAGGGCTCTGTGTAAAAATGTTTATTTGTACTAATGCTTAGAATACAGGAACTAAAGAAAGAAAGAAAGAAAAAAAGACACCTCAACTCCAAAGTGACAGTGAATTAGGGCCTTCCCACAGCCAATGGGAAGGACACTCCAGGGTGTCCTGGCATGGACTGTCCCCGCCCCACTACTTAATGTGTCACCAGGCAGAAAATTGAAGAATCAGGGTGCGAAGACCTTACCAGCTGCTAGCGAGTGTGCCAGGGAAGAAAGGGATGTCTATGTGGCTTCCCCACCACCCAGGAGCCAGGATACACAGAGCAGGAGGCAGAGGCTCCCAATTCAGTTAAGGGCAGGAGCTGAATGCCCAGGTCCAGGAAGAACTAAAAGGGGATTTCGGAGGTAGGCTTTTTCATCGAGTTAAAAAACAGGCACATTATCCAACATCTCCCTGTGGCCCCCAAGCTGTTGGCCTGGCCCCCTAATGCTTCCCCTCTCCCCACAAAACCAAAGGGAATAAGGAGGGGAGGCAGAAGACAGGAAATAACAAGGGTGGGGAATGCTTCAGTCACTAGAGACCAGGGCCTGTGACAGTGAGTCAGGCAAGCACAAGGAACAATCAGGTGAAGCTGCTACTCCCCCTGGGGTGGAGTGGTGGGAATGGGATAGAGCCAGGAGGGTGACCAAGAGCATCCTGGCTCAGGCAAAGGATCCTGGGTAGCAGGAACAGAAAGCCGCAGAGAGCCACTCTGGGGGAAGGAGGCTGTGAGGCTAAGCAGCACAGAGGGCACCGGAAGCTTCTTGCAAGCTTGCTCAGTTCTCAATCCCAGCTGCTCTGGCAGAGGCCCCAGCCTGGCTCACCTCCAGGCGAAGGGAAAACCCTGGGGACCAGAGTGGAGGCAGAGCTGAGAGAAGTGAGCTGCTCTCCCACTCTTTCTCGGAGGACATGGTTTGAACCCTGTGAATACCAGGGCCAGGGCCCAAGGCAGACAGAGTGAATGCACTTCATGGAGAACAGTGAAAAGCTGGGCCCACAGGTATGCCTTGGGGCAGTGTGATGCTCCGTTCTCCCTGAGGGCCTGGGGCCAGAGGCGGTCAGAGCTGCCACCTCAGCTTGCTGCTGCCAAAGGCAGGTTGGCACGACCTCCCCGAGGTTCTCTGGACTTGTGAAAGAGATTAGGAAGGGAAGGTGGGTATGAAAAACAGGAGGGAAACAGCCCTAGATGTATGGAGGATCGGGGGTGGCCACATCAAGAGGAGTTCTGATTCTGGTAGATGGAAGCTTTCTCCTTCAGCAGGTCCAGACACAAGTGGCAGCTCCAACTTCCTGCAGAGAAGCATAACGGGGTTAGGAGGGGCCCCGCACAATCCTCATCTGCTGTTCTTCTAATCCCCATACCTCACCTCCAGTAGCAGGACTGGCTACAGGTAGGATGGGAGATGTTCTGCAGTAGCAAAGTCTCACAGTTATCCTGAGCAGGGAGGAACTCTAGGTCTTCAAATATCATGAAAAATAATTCTCAATGGAGATATAAGAAATAATCGCCTGGAGGCCTATTTCAGAATACAGATGCCCAGGGCCTCTTGGCCTATTAAATCAGAATCACTAAAGAGGACCTGGGTAGATGTAACTTTTTAAAGCTTTAAAAAGCTTTAAACTTGTGATTACAGAAGAACCAGACTTCATTCTCATGGCCCCAAAGGTTAGAATAAAGATCATGAACAGAGGCTCCAGAGAAACCAATATTGATTCCACATAAGACAGCTTTCTGTGAAGACCATGGAAAGGTGAGAAGGGCTCCCCACCGTCACTAGGTGCCTGAGCAGAGGCTGAGGACCCAATCAGAGGAAAGGGGGCCAAATATGATGACCCAACTTATTGTGACCCAAGTCTGGTTTCATAGAAAAACAGGAAATAATGTCCCTTATGAGAAAAATAACTAGCTCATACCTTGTTTATTAATATTTGCTATGGTTGGATTCTTCTATGCTTTTTTTTGTTTTGAGAAAGAAAATTAGCCCTCTATGCCTTGAAGTTATAAGCATAATTGTACATATGTGTATTCGAACATTATTCTGGGGGAAGGAATCTACAGCTTTCAACAACTCTTCAGAGATATGTGACTCTCAAAAAGGCAAGATCCTTTCTGACCCAAAGGTAAATATGCAGCAGTTGATAAGCTTTTCTGTAAGTAGCCGGAGAGCGTTAACTACTTGAGGCTTTGTGAGCCACATACAGTCTCAGCCGTATCTCTTTTTTAAAAAAAACTCTCTTTAAAAATGTAAAAGTCATTTTTAGCTTGTGAGCTATATATACTAGTTGCAGCTAGGTATGGCCAGAGGGTCATAGTTTGCAAAGCCCTGACCTAGAGCCTAGACCATCTGATGGTTCTATGGGATCCCCCCGCGAGCTGCCTGCAGCTCTCCACGACCCCAGTGTCTGAGCAGCACTCCATTAGGAGAGCCCTTCTACAGCTAATGTAGAATTGTGCCTGTGAACGGATATTTTATGGTTAAAAACCCCCCAAAACACACTACTTCTCCTCAAACACGGCATATGACAGATGAAACTTATAAAGGCGGCGTGACATGAAAAAGCTGAGTGCTGCCCTGCAGCTGCGGAAGGACCCTCAGACTCTGTTAGTGGCCTCCTTCTCTAGGGGGTGACAGCAGTCTGACCTACACTACAAGTCAGCCCACATCACAGTGAGCTACTTTCTCTTGCCTGTAATGCTGGCCCACATCCTTGGTCACAGTAACAGCTACTAGGCATTTGTGTCCTCCTGAGTAAGCTTCTGAATTTCTGTGAAGGAGGGGCTTCGGCACAGACACCTGGCTGGAAGAGGACTTCCTGCGAGGCAGCCACTTTTTAGCGTCACCACTGGTTTTGTCAAAGACCCTCCATAAACCTGAAGCATCATTAAGCACTTGGAGGGTCAGAGCAACCCACTCAGGCTCCAGATTCAACTCCCTCCCCAGCACTGGCAGAAACAAACGCGCACATCTGTCAAGAATGGAGTGCTAAAACTAGCCTCGCGTCACACAAACTACGAACTGAGCTTCTTAGACTTGTTGGAGGAAAACAAATCTCTCCTTCTGGTAATTATTCTCTGCTCAGCATCTGTTTTCTCTCAGGCTGTCGATTTTCTGTGTTTGTAAATGTTATCTGGTGATAATGTACAAACATTAAAGCCTCAAAGTTGCAATGCTAGGAAAGCACTCTGAAATGAGTGAAGGCAACGTGCCAACCCCCTAATCCGAAAGAATGTATCACTGGTACGAGAACTCACTTAACCATACAGGCGATTTTCCAAGTTACTAATAAAACACTTGTTCTGAGTAAGAGATCAGGGAAACCTACCTTCAGGAGGCTCAGACATAGACGGGGTGAGACAATACATGTGGTAGCCACGATCGCAGTCATCACAGAAGAGCAGCTGGTCCTAGAGAAGGCAAGATGGAAGAGGAAGGGGGGAGGTGAATGACTAATGGACCTCAGTTGGGCTGTTGAGGACAGGTAGGAAGGAGGGCTTCTGCAGACACGGCTGCTAATTCCAGGAGGGGCAGGACAGATGGCAGTAAGAACAGACATGGGACCCTCTGGACAGAAAATCACTGCTGTCCACTTCCACCCAGACAGGGTCACTACTGTCATCCCTACTGGACGCCACCAGCCGCCTAACGGATCTCATGGCCTCCACATTGTTCCCTCCTAATCTGTTCTCCACAGTGCAGCCAGTTACCTTTTTCAGATGTAAGACAAACCACATGACTCCTGATTAAACTCTCAGACCTGGTGGCACCTGCCTTCCAGCCTCATCTTTTACCTGCTCTCCCACTGCAGGAGGGCTCCAGCCGGCCACAGTGGCCTCAGTCCACCCACTGTGTCCACCTTTAGGCCTTTGTACTGGCTACTCTTTCCTGGGAATACTCTCTGTCCAAATCTTCTTGAACTGTTTCCTTTGTGTCATCCAAACCTCAACACCAACATCACCTCCTCAGAAAAGGCCTCTCTATCTAAATCAGTTATTCAGTTACTCTCTGCCACATTACTCGTTTCACTTTCTTCATGGAATAGCATAAAAACGTCACCCACTTCCTTGCTTACTGCTTGTTCCCGCAAGAATGTAAACCCCATGAAAGCAGGGACCTTGTTTGTCTTTAGTGTGCTTATTGCCTAAAACAGTGTCTGACACAAAGTCGGTATTCAATGAACACCTGCCAAACAAATCAAAGTTCCCACGGGTGGAAAGTACAGTAAAAGCTGAGCAGAAGCGTGCTGGGGGCGGGGGTGGGACGGGACGGGACGGGACGACACACGCACATCGTTCTCGGAGGTGCCACAGATGTTGCAGCACTTGCACTCGATGCACTGCCAGCGGTAGGTCTTCACTGCTGCCATCATCACGGGGGTGAACTGGAGGCAGGACGGATGCCCTGTGGGGGGGAGCGAGTGAAACAGGCAGCCGGAGATCGGGGAGAAGCGAGGTGACCTGGTTGACTGTGACAGCCACTGGATGCTGGCAAGCCACGAGCCCCTCGGGGACTGGGTGCCGGCTAGGGCTGCCCTGGCCCTGGGTTGGAGGTACCTGAGCGGCCACAGTCAGAACAGGACACCAGCTCCTCGGGCTGTCCTGTCTTCTTGTTGATCTTGGAGTCCCCCAGGCAGAAGTCACAGTAGTTGTTGGGCAGGGCCAATCCATCGGGACCCTTCTTGGCTACAGGGAGAAAGGGAGGGACTTTCATGATACCCATGTGGGCCTCTGGGTCTCTCAACATCCCTGCAGGGAGGGCTTTTCATAACCAGGCCAACGCCTGTTTGCCCCGCCTCTGACAGCAGCTTACATTTCTGCTCCTCGGACCTCTGGGAAACCGGGGTCGGTGGCTGCGAGTCTTCCTTGTCCTCGCCCTCCTCCTCAGCCAAGTGGGAGTGGGCATAGTGGTAACTGAGGCCTGGTCGGTTCTTGTAACGTTTTCCACAAACTAAGCATGGAGAAGATTGCAGAGAAAGGTGTCAGGATCCCAGAGTGCCACATCCCTGCCCCTCTAAGCTGTGGGCTCCACCTGAGGCAGAGGTAATCACCCCCATCAGCTCTGCTCAGGGACAGGCCTTTAGCGACAGCCGCCTCCCCGTGGCCAGGAACATCAGGCCTGGGGCTCTCCAGCTTCCATGGCTCTTCTCCCTACTAAACTCCAGCCCACGGCCACCTCTACTCCTCCACGTAGGTTGTCTGGGAGGCTGAGCCCTTGCCCCATCACCGCCTGCCCTGGGAATAGTCTGGGGAGCTCCAGGTCAGGAGGGAGAGGAAATTTCTATAGTCTTGCAATATGGCAGGAAGGAGGAAAGGTAGCAGAGACTCCAAACTTTTTTACCTCTCAGTAAATGAAGGAGGCTTACGCTACTCCATATATAACGTAGCCCAAATAAAGGAGCTAGGGGGTGGATCTCTTGGGGATAACCTACCAACTGAGTCTGCTGGGGTAGCTGTCTCCCAAAGAAACTCAAAGACACTCCCACATCAGTGCCCTGCCCAACCCCCCCACCCCCCAACCAGCAAGGAAAGCAGATCCCCATGTGGCATCTCGCAATTTTGAGCAGTGATACCAAGAAGAGCAGGGGGCAGCAGGAAAGGAACAGGGAAGGGATGGGAGGGGGGGGTGGCGGGATGGTGGGGAACGTTAGCTGACCACTATGTGTCTGTTTTGGGGAAGGGGGAGCAGAGGGATCTGTTTGTAATGGGTTCCTTATAATGCTTCTGAAGCCACCCCATGCAGTGGGCCCGAGCAGCCCTAGGAGCAACTTTGTGGGAGACAAGCAGTGGTAAAGGCAGCTTCCAGGACCGTGAGGAGTGGAGCACATAGAAGGCCCATTGCTCCTGTCCCCATGCCATTCCAGAGACTTTACAACTAGCATCACAGATGATAAGGCAGGAACAAGGGAGGAGGGAAAAAGGGATAGGAAAACCAAAAGTCTGAAAAGTTGAGAGAGCTACCTCTCTGGGGCGCTTTCGAGGTATGCTTTTGTTTGAAACTATCTGAAAGACAGAAAGAAAAGTCATGAGAAGAAGGCCTTGATACACTTGAGACGGGTGCGGCAGCAGCAGGAAAGCGGAGCAAACGAGAGAGAAACCCCAGCGGTGATGGTGCTCCCAGGGTGGAGGGACAGAAGTGGGCAAGAGAGAGAAAAGGGGGAGAGAGCACAGACATTGAAAAAGTCAGTGTTGGACTCCTGACTTGACTGGGGCCAGCAGACCTGGATGCCACCTATTTGAGGCCAACCCTGCCTGCTGTGTGTGCCCCTCATGGGTACCCCCACCCCGAGGACAGCAATCTCCCCCAGAGCATGCAGGGCTCACCCACCGTGTAGCGGAGGCCAGGGCCTCTCAGGGATCTCAGAGGGAACCAGTCAGCAGGCAGGACAAGAGTCCAGGCTTGTTTTACCACTTTGGACAAGAACACAACCTTCCCTCCTCTCATATCCTGAGGAGCTGGGTCCAAGGCAAGGACTACCCACCCACTCGTGAGGCACTCACTGTCACAGGCATAGGGTTTATCTCGGTCCTCCAGGATGGAAGCGTCCAGCTTCTTACGGGCACTGCCCACACCTTTACCCTGTGAAGAAGAGCAAAAAAAAGCCCTTAATAAGGTGTCTAGGCCTGAGGAGTTAGACTCTCCCGGAAGCTGGCTGCTCATCTCACTCAAGAGGGAAAATGGCAACAATGAGCAATAAAACAGTGGGACTCTGCAGGCTACCTGAGCCCCCAGGCTGCAGGCAGCACCTGGCCCCTCACCTTGGACTTCCCCTTGCCCCGACGCTTGGGAGTGTCTTCTTCATAGTCCTCATCATCGAGGTCATCCAGGAAGTCATCCGGTTCTAGGATCCGCTGAGTGGACAGGAAGATTAGGATGGGCAGAAATAAGGAACATCCAAAAGCTCCCCCATGATGGGACTGGCCGAGGCCGCCCAGAACCTCCTCTGTGACCTGGCCTCACTCCTCACTGCTGTTCTTTCAGGGCTTTGGGCTCTCCTTCCTCTGCGCCTCTCTTCATGCTGCTCCCCTAGCCTGGAATGCCTTTCCCATCATCACCAAGTGGCTAAATCAAACCCCATGTTTTCATAAAACTTTCCCTGATACCCCAAGTAGCTGTGGCCTCTCCTGCCTCTGACCTGCCACCTTAGGTGCATGTTAGTGGTGGTTCCCTTCCGACACCTCACTTCCCAGATTTAAATTAGAGCCTTGCTGCTTACTTGGGTGGCCTGGTGGGAAGTTTTTTTTTCCACTGATCTGCTGCAGCCTTCCTATATGTGAAATGGGCAACAATACCTATTTCATAAGGTTGTAGAGACTGGAGAAGATGATGGAAAAGCACTTAGCACAGTGCCTGGCATACTTTTAGCTCTTATTATTTTTATGTACAGTTTTATCTTCCTTGTTGGCAGAGACCAGGTCTGCATCACCCATGTAACCCCAGGCACCAAAAAACTTTGGTGGCAACAGAAGATGAACGAGAGTCTGTAGTTAGAAGGAAAGGAGCAGGAAAGACTGGGAGGTAACAATGAAGTTCTCATAGGGAACGGAGCAGGAACAGGACTCCAGGTGGCTGCCTCCAGCCCCACAGCTTCTACTTCTATTCTGATTACTGGGTGGCCTCTGATGAGGAGGAGACTGATTTCCATCAAAGCTCCCTTAACCACACTGTTAATCTTGTACCTTCCGTGCTCGACTGTTCGTCACAGGAAACTCGCCCAGGCTGTCATCATCAACTCGGGGATCTGGGGCGCCTCGCTTCTCCAGGGGGTCGGTGCGCAACAGAGCCTCTAAACTACTGCCGTCCTGAGAGATCAGCCCCTCCTTCTTCAGGGTCTGGTCTGTGTCTGCAGGCAAGGCCAGGAGGAGGCGAGGCTCAGAAGGGCTGCAAGCAGACCTCTCCGGTGTATACAGTGCTAGACCAGCCACTAGCCAGTCACTGTCTTCTGGTCTCTGGCTGCCCAGGAACCAAGACACCGTGGTTCACTTGGCACCATAACTTATCTGTTTACCTGTCTCTTCTATTCGACTGAGTTCTTTACAGAAGGAATCACATCTCATTCATTTTAGTATCTTTAGGATCTAGCACTGGGCCTGGTACGTAACAGGTGATTGGCAGCCCTTCTACCACACAGCAGGCTATGCCCCTGCTCAGGGAGGAGTGTGCTTTACCTGGTTTAATAGTTGGGAAAGAAAGTCTTGGATCCTCAGGAGGGTGGGCTCGCCGCTTTTTCCGCCAGCGCCGGGCAGGGTAGGAGTACAGCTGCCCAGAGGCCAATCCTGTGGAAGGGAAAAAGAGAGAGAAGTCAAGACCTAACCCTGGAAAATAATACCAAACACTTTCTGCATGAGTAGGCCCTGACTGAGTTCTAGAGCAAGGGAGGAATATGGACAGTGAGGGCCTGGGGACGGGGTGGGGACAAGAAAAACAGATGTAAGCTCAGAGGCCTTAGCTCTCCAGAAGCCCAACGAGAGCTTCAGCAGTGCAGCCTGCAGAAAACAAAGATGCTTCATCCTCCCTGGGCTTCTAATCACGGGACGACTATAATCTCCACGGGTGGAAAGCAGTAAGGAAAACCCTTTCAGCTGGCTCATCACCTAAGATGGGAAGCTTCTTCCTCCTTGTGCTCCTGAGTGGACCCTCACCTGGACCCCGGTGTCGCTTTTCCATCCAGATATAACAGTTGCTCTGTGCTACTCCGGTCTGTGAGTCCAAGAAAGGCAGGCGCACGCTGCGCTCAGCACAGAGGCGTGCGTTGTAATTGTGGCACTGCTCCATTGCATCTTTGTAATACTGCTCCCCAAGGCTGGAGGAAAGACAAAGATCAGGGTGTGTGTGTGTGTGTGTGTGTGTGTGTGTGTGTGTGTGTGTGTGTGTGTGTGTGGGGGTGTGGCTGAGCTATCCCTTTCACTTGCCATCTGCTTCTCTAGAAGGCTCAAGGGACTTGGAGAGTGTCACTCTGCTTTTATTTGCTACCATTTCTGGCTCATGGGACACCAAGCCCCTTCACTAAGCCATTATGAGGAAAGGTACTTTACAAATAAATTACCGTCAGGAACACAGGATTTCATCATGTGTCTAATCAGACCTTAGTCTAACCCACAAAGAGGGGAAGAAAATAATGTTCATTCTGTGCCTCTCAAGAGTATAACCCTGTGCTAGCCAAGATGCTATTTCTCTTAACCCTCAGGATTCTGAGAAGCAGAGGTTAGCTCCTTTTTACAAATGAGAAAAGAATTCAAAAAGGTCTGGGGGACTTATGAAACTATATTTAGCAAACTCTATACTAACTCTATCTATACAAACTATCTATACAATGAAATTCTACTTAGCATAAAAAAAAAAAGAAGGAAGCTCTTTGTGTACTAACATTAAACAATCTCCAAGATAACTAGAAAAAAAAAAAGGTGCACGACTGAGCAGTGTTATAGGATGCCACCATTTATGTAGCCAATTGGTGGAAAAGAAACTAGGCCTCCAATGAGAAAAACCAGGTGACTAGGGGACTTTCTCCTATGTGCCATTTTATATCTTCTGAACTTTAAACTAGGTGTTTAGCCATCTAATTCTATATACTAATTTTACAATAAATGGAAAACATCAGAAAATACTTGAACACTCTCGAAGCCTACTTTCTACTGAGTACCATTACACTGATACAAAACCTGTTTGCTCAAAGGCCTATCCTAGGCCCTTCTCCATTCTCACACCATCAAATTTTTTAGGAAAGAACCTTCTTGGACTCAAAAGATTCAATTTGAAATCTGATTTTTTAAAGTGCTTTAAAAAGCTGCAAAACTGCACAGTGCCAGGAGTTATCTGGTTCTAAGAAGCATGTATGGGCTTCCCTGGTGGTGCAGTGGTTAAGAATCCACCGGCCAATACAGGGGACACGGGTTTGATCCCTGGTCCGGGAAGATCCCACATGCCGCAGAGCAACTAAGCCTGTGCGCCACAACTACTGAGCCTGCACTCTAGAGCCCGCGACCCACAACTACTGAAGCCTGCGCACCTAGAGCCCGTGCTCTGCAACAAGAGAAGCCACCGCAATGAGAAGCCCACACATTGCAACAAAGAGTAGCCCCGGCTCACCACGACTAGAGAAAGCCCACGCACAGCAACGAAGATCTAATGCAGCCAAAAATAAAAGTAAATAAATTAAGAAGCATGTATATAGAACCAATCTTGTTCTCATGCTTCAGGGTTTAACAAGTACTTTAGTATGGGAACTTTAACTATATTCATATTTATATATCCAATCAATCTCAAAATAAACAAAATGAGGGCAGAGATGATTTCTTTCCCACAATATCCTCAGTACCCATGATGGTGTCTGAAGCATCTTGACTAAGGAGTAAAAAAGACCTGGCTTGGCTGCAAGTCACCGCATAAACGTGGACATTTAATCAACCTACATGGACCTCAGGTTCCTATGCTATTGATTGGGGAGGCCGAACTAGACAAGCTCTGACATATTCTACAAGAGGGAGATTGCTAGCAAGAGAAGCTGAACCGAGGTCCTCTGCTGTTTATGTCCATAACTCAAGCTACAGCAACAAACCCTTCTCTGGAATCTAAGGGGGGCTTTCACTGGGCAGCCACAATAGACCACTTAGGCACAGCTTAGCACATTCCCAGCAACTGAAAAAGACACACACTGCACACACATCTTGTGACACCACAAGACAGCCTGGCTTGATTCAATGCGCCGTAATGACTGTAATTTGAGGTAGGCATGAATCCTGTATTGGAGAGCAGAGCGAAGGGAACAGGCTCATATTTGCTCGCCTTTAGGAGGCAGCCATGTCCTCACTAAACAGAGGAAAACTGGATAAACAAGGCTGAGTGCAGCAGCTCCTTTGTTTCCACTGATGGGAATTGACACTGACACTGTAAGTCAAATGGAAGGAAGGGCTAGACAGGCTGAGAGCTGCAAAGTCAGAACAAGGAAGCTGGAAACAGCTGGGGGGGACGGATGAGAGATGTTCTATCAAAGCTCTTGTGAGTTAAGTGGGATTTCGGAAGGTGGGGCAAACTGTCTCGTGAGTAAGAGAGCTGAGAATGAAACACCAGTTGAGGAAGAGAGGATCTGACGAGGATAGAGCAAGAGAGAATGAGAGAGATCTCTTAAGAATCTAAGGCTCCTATTTCAAGAAATTTCAAGGTAACATCATTCTCCAGATCTCATTACCTAACTCAGAGGATTTCAAAACCAGTCAGCAACCATAGCTATCTTATACCATTATTTTGCCCTAGTAAGACCCCTTAAAGATCGTTTCAATTCTGACACCACATTTGGGAGGGACAGAAAATTTATAAACAGGGAAATTCTTCTCCCAGAACAAGATGCAAGTCAGAAAAGATGAGCTAGTAGTCCTGACCTCGATGTATAACCTCAGCTGTCAGAAGACTAGACACACCATGATCAAGAGAAGCGCCAAAAAAAAAAAGAGAAGCGCCAGAAAAGCACCTCTTTCCAGGATGAGAATGGTACAGGAGGACTGCAAGTCCCTTCTTAAAGGGCAAGTTCTGTAGGGA